CAGGGGAAAGGAGTAGGAGGAGAGGAGGGGGGAGAAGTGGGGAAGAAAGGGGGAAGAGAATGAGGCGAGGAGGCAATGATCAAGAGCAAGCAAGGTGGGCGCAACACGGACAGGAGGGGGCACAAGCGGGAGCGAGGCGGATATCTGCAGGCACCTTGAATACCAATCGGCCGCTTGCAGGACGGCACCACCAGCTCCCCTCCCCGCACCCGACTCTCTTCGTGCTCAACCCCTTCCCCTTATATCAGGTGGCATGGGCTCAAGCACAGCCTGTATCCACATACACGCCTTCGCTTCCACTGATTGCACTGGGAGCCATCGCCCAGCAACCGTTCCTTAAAATGGGGCGTTTAATTCTATGTGAGTTCTCGGATGCGGCAGATGACGACACAGCACTTTTTCAATTTCGTCGTCCACACGACTTGCAGTCTTTGGAGCCAGGCAGGTCCGAGGAGGAAAGGGCGGGGGAAAGAAGGTTTCCATCCCCTCCTACTCCTCCAACTCCTGCTCAACTCCTCCTCCTCCTCCTCTTCCTCCTCCTCCTCCTCCTCCTCCTCCTCAGGTCAGTGCGGAGTCGACGTGATTTCCCTACCCTCTTGCCCCGCTCCCGTCGTCTCAGGTCCCGAAGAAAACTCGTGTGGGTGACGTCCAGGTCTTCTTCACAAGATCCGCCGGGGGCTTGTATGAAAGCTGATGATGCCCTTCTTCCTTGCCCTCCTGCTCCTCCTCCCCCTCCTCCCAGTCCTTCTCCCCCCCTGCCATGAACAGCCGGCGCAGAGTTTTACTCACTTGTATTTGCGACTGCTTAAGCTGTATATCTTGCCCACGTGCCACACGGCGTAAGGTGTGGGGCGCGTGAACGTTGATATGTATATGGGATATTTACACGTAGTTACACATGCACATACGAGAAGGATGCATAACACGATGAAACAAGTTCGGTTGCCTTTGATTCTAAACAATCGGTTCGTGTTGTCGGCAATGCCACACTGTGCGTGTACGTTTGTTCGGTGCGCCTCGCGGATGGCTGTGCAGAGCCTGTCGGCGTCGTCGTCAGACATCGGAATAACAGGATGAGGACGGTACAGCTCTGGAAACACTCAACGCACCGCGTGCTTCCGAGCTCGGAAGTCAACGTGAGACCTAAACCCAAAGGGCTGCGCACGGATACAAAAGCTAGGGCAAGAATGGGACGTCAGACACAAAGAGGAGAGGGGGAGGAGTGGACACAGAAGACAGCGGGACTACTTTTCGTGGGTCTGACGTCGTGGCAACGACTCCGGGGTCCCCGTACTCACCCAAGGACATCTTCCAGGTACCCCCTCCGAAGCCCTCAAGATCCGAAGCAGCTCTGACCAGGGCGGCCTTCGAGGCTGCTCTCGAACGGGACTTGAGACTAACGTTCAGGGCGCGCTCAGACATGTGACCACTCTCATCAATGAGACACATTGACCCCCGGCTGAGTAAGTCTAAAAGCGCTAGATTGCCCCTTCCCGGGTCGGCTTTTGTCAGGGAGTCGGCTGCCATCCTTCCGTGCGGCACCCGCCGCATTTGCGACCCAATAGCACACAGTGCGTCCCTGATCACCGCCAACTCTATAGCGCTCCTCCTATCGGCCCGGGACCCTGAACTATTCCGACTCAACGTGTCGAACATCGATTCTGCATCTACAGCCGAAAGAGAAGCAACGCAATCAGCAAGTTCAAAATCGTTGCTAAACGCAAATGAACACGGAACCTGGCCAAGATGCCAATCGGGTTTCACAACATCGTCAAACATTAAATCGCGCCAGAGGACGTGTAACCACTGAGTTTCGGCGACAGCCGCCGACAAACTCAATGCCTCCGCAGCTCCAGTACTGGCGGCCACACGCTTTAGCCTAGAAGAGCGCCAAGATAAAAGCGAAACGCGAGCTCTGCGGTTCTGCCGAACCTCTGCAGCACAGACCAGCCAAGCACCCTGAGCCCCTCCTCGTTTCGCGGACCAGGGACCACCCGCGTCGGAGATCGCGACGAACGTAACCGAGCTAGCATCTAGAGGCCAGATGGTGATCCTCTGGCTCGCCGAGAACTTCAAGTGCTGGACCACTTTAATTCCCAACAGCGCGCCCTCCACTGTTGGAGAAGGCAGGGCCGCGCTGAGCAAAGGAGCGGAGCCAAAAACGTCGGGCCTCGTCTCGCTGTCCAACCACTGCGCCTGAGCTATCATGGCCCGGTATCCCTTGATCTCACACGACGTCAGAAGCGACGAAGGATCAGTTCTTCGAGACTTATCCAGCTGCATGGCGGCGAATTGCTCAACAATGTATTTTTCTTGATCAACGGTGATCTTCCCCCAAGTCCCTGGCGCTCGTCGGGGTGCGAGGCCACAATAAGACCGTCGACCGCGAACAGAATCCTCGAGCGAATCTCCCCAAGAGAAGACCGTGTGACCCACGAATACGGTTCTAAAATCTGGAAGCCGTCCGAAAAGAGAAAACTCGCGAGGGTTCGATGCCGCAGGAGAGGAGCGTCATTTAACCCGTACACTGGCGCCGCAAGCTCAATCAATGACCTGGGTTTGAGACAGAGCCCGCTGCATGGTTCACAGTGTATATATATAACCTTTCGGTCTGCGCAGCTTGTCGCTCTGGCAGAAAAAGCATTCTTGGCATCCGCGATCCCGAGCTCCCAGCCCAGCGAACTAACAGCCTGCAGCGCGACCATCATATTTTCAGCTTGGGGGGGGGGTAGACCCCACGCCTTCTTGAGGCTCGAATCGCCTCGCCATGCGACTGCCAAGAACTCGGCCCGGGAATCGGCGGCGCACCAGGTGCGCCTCCTCGGGGGATGGGACTCTCACCGCCCCGGAGCTCATCATCGCGCTCCATGGCACTCCTCGGCATCGGAGGCCTCGAAAAGTCGGCGCCCCGAGGGGGGGCGGTTCTCGAGGCAGACCTCAGCCCCGCGCCTCGCAGGTGGAGCCTCCCCGGGGTCACTCGCGCGACCGGCAAAAGTCGGGGGGGCCCAGACATCAGGATCAAAACTAAACCAGCTACAGAGCTCCTGCCACCTCCTGCTGCTGCAGATCCTCCTCCTCCAGATCTAACTCGGCGTGCCATGGCGCCAGGTGCCGATCCTCGAATGGCAGGCGCTCGATGCCAGCCTGCCAGACTGCCCCAGCTGCAGCCGCGACTTGAGCAAGATCGCTCGCCCCCGCCTCGGCCCCGGAGCTCGCAGGAGTCCCATCCCGAGGCTGGCGGCGCTGAATTAGCGAGCGGCGAGCGGGATCGCTGCCTGGAAGCTTGAGCCTCGGCCTCGGCCTCCCGGGCGCGAGCCTCTTGCCCCCGGCGGATGCAGGCGGGGACATCGTCGAGCAACGCGCATCTCCCCCCCGGGGAACTGGGGGCCTCGCCCCCGCGGGAATGGACGCGGCCCCGGGACCCTGAGCGCCCGAAGCGGCACTCGCACCAGGATTGGGAGGGGGCCGAACCCTAGGCACCCCGGGAGCTCCTGACTGAGTCTCGAAATCCTGAATCATGGCCCGCGCCCAACCGGGGCCCGAATTTCGCTCCTCGGCCGGAAGCAACCGGGCCCGTTGAAGAGGAGGCCCCCCGACCTCGAGCTCGCCACTCACCGCCCGAGTGGGAGCTGAAGAGGAGGAAACCTGAGTTGAAGCACTAGGCGTGGGCGGCGTACGGTTCCGGCGCCGCCTCTCGATCCACAGAGCCGCCGGGGCCCGAGCGTTGGCTCCCTGGGGAGCGGCCGATATCGGCCCATCGGGCTCTGGGGCCTCAGTCAAACCGACCTCTCGCGCAGCAACATGCCTCCCCGGATCCTGAGGCCGTCCTGGAGGAGGCGGGGCATCCAGGGCTTGCTGCAGCTCTGGAGGCAGCGGATCCTGGCCCGGAGCAGCAGACTCGGACTCTGGGGCCGGCTGGGGACCAGGGGAATCCCAAGCCCCAGGTGGGGGAGGGCCCTCAGACTCAACATCGACCGCGCCCACTCGGCGGCCGGGGTTCTGAAGCTCTCGACGAAGCTGCTCGAAAGTAGGGCTGGCCGTGAGCTCGGCCCCCACGCTTCCTCCCTGGTAGCCCAACGGATCTGCTCTTGACTGTACTTCCACAGTCTCGATCGCATCGCGACCCACACTGAGGCACCACGCTGGTAGACCACGGCCCCGGGACCAGTCCACCGACTTCCTCAAAGAAACTTGGATCGCTCGCCCGCCTGGGGGCGGCGCCACACGCACCCAGGATCCAGGAGGGTAGAAAATGCCCACGCGCTGCCGGGACCTGGAGGCAAGCTGGGCCTTCTCTCGGATATCCATGGCCATGACCGCGTTCTTGGCTTCTTCCCGAAACATGTGTTTTCTCGCGAAAGCAGCGGACGGGGAATCCGCATCATGAGTGCACGGATCATGTCCTGAACCCCACCTCGTCCACAGCCTCGTTGCTCAACAGGGAACGGGGTGGACGAGGATCCCCAAACGCGAGCTGATTGGAGAAAACTCCCCCCGATGCATGCGGCTGTTCTTGGTGGCCACGACCTCCGCGAGAAGGTCCTCGACCTCCTCAGTCGTCGCCGGCTCGGCTGAGAGGGCAGCCTTCCGCAGAGCCAACTTCGCCAGTCCGCCGTGTCTTTCACAGCGGCCATTCTGGCGCGGGCCCTCGCTGTCGCACGCGTGGTGGCACGCGCCTAAGTCGCCTAAAAGCTCGAGGGATCCAGCGAAGATGCTCGAATTCTGCACCTCCATCTGACATCGCTACCTCGGGGATTCCAAACGGGCGGGCCCAGGGCCTGACAAATCCCCTCCAGGCCTGATCGGCGGTCGCCCCCGGAAGCGCCGTGCGCGCTTGGTAGGTCGCTCCGTGATCCACCACGTTCAAGATGGGCAAAGACATGCCGAGAGCCGGAACGAACAGAATATCAACGGCCACCAGCTTGTTGAACCTAAAGGTCCTGGGGAGCCGCGCTCGACGCCTCCAGGACTTCGCGCCTTCCGACTCGCAAGCTTAACACCTGAAATGGCGAGCGGTCCAGCGGGCCGCGTCCTCCCGAGCATTGGCAACCTTGAGCGCCCGCGCGAAATCGTCTCGCCTCGGATGTCCTAGATTGGCGCGCAGTTTCTCGACTTCGCTCTGAAGCTCTTCGGCGAGATCCTCAGACGGCGGCTCCTTGGAGCCGTTCCCCGGAGCGGCTGGAGGAGACGGCTCGGGCCCCTTGTCTGAGACGTCTATAACCTCGTTTCCCCCGTCACCCTCAGGATCTATCCCCTCGGGATAGGCCTCCAGCCTGTCCGAAGAGGCCGGGGCCTCGCCACTACTCAGAAGCGTGCTCTCCGCTCCCTGCGCCAAGGTCGACGCCAGAGCCGGCGCGTAGACCCCCGCTGCCGAGGTCCTCGCGCCGCCGACGAAGGGAAAGTGAGGACGGGGGCCGTCGCGCCGACGGCCAGGCAGCCCGAGCATCGACGAATCGTTCGATAGGAATCGAGTGGCCTTCTGGTTCAGCTCGTCGGACCCCGGCCAGGATCGACATCCCGAACTGGCACTGATTGGCCGGCGTGCTTCCCACGCCTTCTCGAGCCGCGACCAGCTTGACGCACTCAAGATCCCAAGACAACGCGCGCGCCGGATGCCCCATCAGGAACTTCCTCCCATGCTGAAGCTGACGCATAGCAACCATGGCGCGCAACCCCATGAACAGAAGACCCTCGGCCTCGGACGCTTCCAATTTGGCCTTATCCATCCTGGGCCAGTTGGGGATCCGGGCCAGGGAAAAGGACTTGTACGGAGGAGACACGATCACCCACTCTGGGCAATCTTCGCGAAGCGTCTTCCTCAGCTTACGACGATCCTCCACGGTGGTCAGATTTCACCCGGTCTTCCTGCCCAATGCGGCTGAGACGGGGCATCCGCGGCGCTCTAGCTCACGAGACACTCGAGGAGGAGAGAACAGCTCAACCACCGCGGTGTGACTGGACCGACGACACGCTTGAAAGGCATCTTTCCTAATCTGCCTACGCTGCTTCCTGATCCCGCTACCCGTGAGAGCCTGCAAGGCCCCCTGCCTAACTTGCCGAGGTACGGTGAGCTCCTGCTTGAGGTGCCACAGGATCCCGATCGAAAACTACCCAGCTATCTGGCAGGCTGGATGCTGGGGCCCGGGCCACCACGACGATCTCCTCCTCGGACTCGTTGACGAATAAGGTGGAGACCTCCTAAGGCTCGGGCCGGGCCCATGCGGTGATCTTGATGTTCTCGCATGGCCCGCTAGGGCCTGCACCAGCTCCTCCAGGGACGTCGAGGTCCACGGCGCGTCGCGCAGGCACCTGCCCCCCCCCCCCCCCCTTTTCTACTCTGACCCTTCTGACCTTCCCCGATCGGTAGAGCGGCAGAAGATGGTTTCGAGCCTCCAGCCTCCATCGCCAGATCGACCACCCAGGACGCTCGCTCGATATTGCTAAGCTCCGAGCGTGACCAATTCGCCCTCCGAGAGACCTCGCCCGGCGGGACCCGTTCACCGGGTTCCAGGCCCCAGACCCCCCTGGGGCACCACGAGGGCCCCCCGGACACAGAGCCTTCTTGGCCCGGGCCCCGCCCAGGACGCCAAGGCGCTTCCCAGTCCAGCTGTCTAGAGAAAGGCCCCCTGGGAGGCTGGCCAGAATGAGAGAGGAGTGGGGATGATCGGATAGCGAGAAGACGGGGGAGCGAGGAATGAGAGAGCCCATTTTCAAAGCGTCAGGCTTTCGAGAGGGCTAGCCAGGTGCGCTCTCGGAGCTCTCAGCGGCTCCGGCAGAATTAGCTTTGGCCAGGCCCTCTTCGGAATCCTCGCCTGTCTCGCTCGTCCCGGCGTCCGGACCGTCAGCGACGAAGCTCGCCGTCTTGTGTCCAAGCGGCCGCCGCTGCCCGATGCCTGGCTCTGGTTCTGCACGAGCAAAGCCATCGTCCTCGTGAGCTCGACAAGCTGCTGGTTGATGCCCTGATTCTGCTGGTCGATCATGGTCCGCTTCAGCTCGTCGATCTTCGACTGGATCGATATCTCCTCGAAGTCGTCGTCGCTCTCGATCTTGATCTTCTCGATGTTCTCGATCGGCTGGAACAGGCCCGGCGCCGGGACCGCCGGAGGCGACTTGCGAGCCGCCGGCCCGCGGAGCGTCTTGCCGCCCCTGGGCGGCGCCTTGGCCGCAGGAGGATGTGCGTGAGCGGCTCGTTGGGATCGAGCGGCTCTGCCTTCCACGCCATCGGAGGGAGGCTCGACTTCCTCGGCTCCGACATCTCGAGCTTAACCTCCTTCGCGATCCGCTGGGCCAGCTCCTTCTCCTCCCCTAATTGATAAGCCTCTGGGTCTGGATATCCCCCTTGGTCCTCTTGTGCAGCTCGATCCTCTTCTTGCAGATGAGGTAGCGGGCGAAGGTGCCGTACTGGTTGCCGCCCCGGCGCCTCGCCGAGATCGGATGGATGCACTCGCCGTTCGCATCCTTGTTGCGGCCCTTGTCGATCTCCACGACGTTGCTCGCCCCCGGCGCCAGCTTCTCGAGCAAGCGCGTCGCCGCCGTCACCTGGAGGGCGGCCAGTGGCTTCGGGCCCATGCGCCTCCAGGTGCTCACCGCCGGGTCCAAGAGGTGGTTTCCTTCGTGGGAGAGCTCCTGCTCGATCGGGGAGAAGCTGTCGGCCGCGTAGTCGATGTGCTGCAGCTCGGCGTCCACCAACAGGTCCCCGATCTGGTCCCAGTTGGCCTCCATATCGCTGTCGTCGGTCTCCTCCTGGCCGACCGCGAGCCTCGCCTTGGACTTCAGCCCGCCCGCCGCGCGAGCACCGCCCGGCGTCTGGAGCTTGCGAACCCGGTCCTGCCTCGCACGAGCGGCCGCGCCCGCCGTCGCGCTCGGCCGGAAGTTGGATGAGAGATTGTCAGGAAGATGTTAGCTTGCTTGAGCCTTGAGTGACTGCAGAGGCCTCCTCGGGCCGACCCCCAGACGCCCCCCAGACGTCTCCCCCGAGTAGGTCCCAAGACTGCCCTCTGGCCCGGCGGTCCGGAGGAAGAGCTCGAGCGGTGGGGGGGGGGATCTCTGGGGCGCGCGCGGCCGGGCCGCCGGGCGGGCGGCAGTCCTCAGCGAGAGCGGAGAACTCGCGCCCGATCTCCAAGTCAGCGTGACCGATCCAGTAGAACGGAATCGCGACGTGCGCCGACTCTTTCTCCACCCAATTGCTCGCGAATTCCCGCTGCTGCTCGGCGTCGCGACGGTCGACGTAGACGCGCGGGGTCTTCCTGGCCGGGCCGAGGCGGTCAACTTCGACTGGGATCCCCGAGACCTTGCACGGAGTGAACATCGCTCGCCTCGGACGGTTGCGACGCCTGCGAAGCGTGCTTGCGATCGCCAGAGTCGAGCTCGTTATCGTCGGGGTCGCCTGCCTCGAGGAACGAGCACATCATCTCGACGAACGGCGGGGGCCTGGCCGCGATCTTGGGGCCCAGCTTGAACTTGCGAGGCTCGCAGCCGATCGAGTTCACCGCCCTGTGGCCGGCGGGGGGCCTGGTCTCCATGCCGTTGTCACCCACTCTCAGCTTGTTAGAGCGCATGTCCACCGCCGCCTTCGCGAGATCCAAGAGCTTCGCCGGGGGCAGCGGCGGGCAGCGGCGCGGAAGTGCTAAGAACTCCGCGGCCCCGCAGCCCCGCAGCGACACTGGCACGAGGGCCTTGGCCAACGGGGGCGCGCTGCCACCCACGCCGTTGGCCCGTGGAAAGTCGCCCTCGTAGTCCACGTGAATTAAGAAGCCGCGCTCCTCGAAAGCCTTTTTAAACGCCTCAAGATCCTCCTTGCCAATCAGCGCCTGTCCCGCGGCAGGGTCGACGAGACCGCGCGGCCCGAGAGACCTGAGTGAGAGCGTGCCGAGAGAGTGACCAACCTCCGCTAGCGCCAGGTCGTCCTGGCCGAAGAGTGTCCGCCAGCTCAGTCATCCAGGAACCTCCTGTGTCGTTCGTGTCGCTAACCGAGAAGAAGCATGAGGTCGGTCCGTCGCTTTTGCCTGCAGCGCCCTCCGCTTTCAGGCGGTCAGCTCGAGACCTGCAGGGCTTCTTGCACTCGTCGCGCCAGTGGCCTTTGTCTCCACAGTTCGAGCACCGAGACCGGTGCTTGAGGTCCCTCTAGGAGATGCGCTTGAAGTCTGGCCGAGGGGGCGGAGGAGCCCGGCCGCGTTGTCGATCGAAAAATTCCCGATGTACCCGCTTGGCGTTTTTCATCTGCTTGGATTCCTGCCAAGATCGTCGTCGTCGTGGCTCGGCAACTTCGGCAAATACCTGGTAGGCCTGGTCCTCATCAAGATCTTGCTCATCTATGGCCGCCAGCAGCGTCGTCGCCTCGTCCTCAGGTTTTTCAACTTCAAACAAATCGAACGACTCCTCGGGTTCTGCCTCGTCCTGGGCCGAGGCCTGGCCGCCCGTCTCGACGTAGGTCTTCGCAGGGCCAGGTGCTAGTGGGAGAACGGTCTTTTCTCTGACATCCAGCGCCAACAGAACCTTTCTGACCGATTTATGCGTCAAGTCATCACCCATCAGCGTCCTCAACTTGACCTTCACCTGGCCCTGCAACATCGCACCCTCTTCGTAGTAGCGCGCGAGAAGCTGGTCGGGTAACGACAGACCGACGTCCCTCCTGACCACGCACTCTGTCCACGACCCGCCAGCTCGGATCTTGAAGCGAACAGCGCTCTATGTTGTGCCTCCCTTTCTTTGTCGTCGGACTTCTCGCCCGACAGCAGCTCCAAGCGGGAGATGAGGGTATCGAGGCCCTCTTCCCGGTCGAGCTTGTACCTCAGTGCCCGGAACTTCGCTTGCAACTCTAGCGGAAGGGATCCAAGAACCTTTCCCGCTTGGCTCTCTGGCCAGTAGCCTGTCCTCAGCTTCCATGAATTCGAACTGTCTCGATCAAGCTGCAGGTGTTCGAGCCCATGGGAGACAGGAGGCGCCGAGAAGTCCCTGGACCTCTCCACGGCGTGCCCACCTTCTGCCAACCGTCCCAGCTGTCGTCCCTGGAGGCGCCGTCGTCGCCTTTCTCGTCGGGCTGCCAAATCCAGCGCCCTCCGCGGAAGCCTTGCCCCACCACGCAGCCCACGAGCCCCACCAAGAAGAGCCAGCCCACGCGTCGTGCTCGCCCTCTCCCTTGTCGTCCTTCTTGCCGGTCCCTGCCCCGGCTGAAGACCCGCGAGCACCGTGAGGCCCCGTACTGTCGTCCCCCTCCTGCTCGCCCGCGCCCGCGCTCCGCTTACTTTTGTCGGCGTCGTCGTCAGACACCGGGATGACAGGATGACGACGGCACAGTTTTGGAAACCCTCCATGTTCCTCGCGTCGTGCCTCCGAGCTCGGAGGTCAATGTGAGACCTGAGCCCAAAGGGCTGCGCAC